ATATGTATATTTGTGATATATTCGTTTGTGTTTGCGTATGTGTTTTTTTTTTCATTTCCCGCATGTATATGTAACTATTTTTTTTATGCAGGGTATCCTGGTGATAACTGTGGCACTTAGTGGGTTTGTTGCACTGATGTATGTGGGGATCCCGCCTGCTCGGACGACTCCCACTTATTCAGACAAGCTTTCCCTAAGTGTCACCTGCGACGCGGGTTTTGTTCTCACGCCCATTAAACCGAGGAGAAACATGGCAGATTGCATTTTCTACAACCAGACGGTGACAATACCAAATGTGTCTGCCCGTAAATGTGGGTACATCTGCAACGACCCTGCTGTGGATTATCCTGCTCTTATCCTACGGAAAGTGAAAAAGGTGCAAGTAATGCAAACTTTCAACTCGACGCTGTATCACACCTGCGAACTTCAGTACGGGAAGAACAGTCAGAAATGCTTTCGGATGAACCTTAATAAGTCTCGCAGTTACGAAAACATGCCAAAGTTCTTTCAGATACACAACTTGGTGCTTCATTTATCTGCAATTGACCCTGAAAACCCATTTATTCCCGTAGACAATTATACAATGTCATCCAGAGAAGTAAGGAGCTTTGAATGCTCTACAGGCCGTGTGCCAAAGAAAGTTATGATTCCTAAAATCATAATAACTGAAGAAGAAGAGGATAAGCTCCCTACTGTCCCGAAGTCGGTTGAATGCCACTTTCACTGCGAAGCGAATATCCCCCACAATCTAACGTGTGAAGAAAACGAGCTCAGCATTGAGCATAATGTCGCTCTCAGTTTCTGGTTATTCGTTACTGCTAACGTGCTCGGTAAGTTCTTCATAGGACTCACTTACACTCTCTTCGAGGTGGCTGTCGTCGCTATCCTTAAAGAATACGGATATGACTACGGCCTGCAAAGGATTTACGGATCCATTGGAGGCATGGTGTTCGCACCTCTGTCCGGATTTTTCATCGATCATTTTGGAAGAGGCAGACATTACACCAACTATTAGTAAGTAAAAGAAGTGTATCTTGTCGTTAGACTAATAAATAAACATCTAGCCTTAAAACTGCCAATGCAGAATCGAGAGACATTTTGACACATTACACTCATTATATGTATAAATTTATATGTTTATAAATATATACATATAAGCACACACACACAAACACACACACACA